GTCCCTGAGGTACCAGTCATTATTTATTGCCGGGGTGGGGGTCGTAAGATATTTATGGGGGGGCTACATGTTCCTCATCGGAAACGGAAGGGGATCAGTCGTCTCTAACAGAGTTTTGAGGGGAGACTACAGCAAATTGACTTCCTATGGGGGGGAGACCAGTAGAACACTAAAGAGCTTTATGAGGGGGTCAATTAAATTTATTTCGACACAACCAAAATTCTCCAACCCCCCCTGGGAATGAATAATATCCGATCCCTAAAATCAATCGCTCTTCCCACTTTTCATCACAGCCTGAGTTTCAAACGAATCCCTATTTTCAGGTGGAGAGAAATATCTATATTTACTTTCTACCCTTATTTCTTCTTAGCGAGGCTGCCAAAATAAAGTTAATAGATGCAGGAAAGATCTGAGGGGAAGCCAAACCACACTGAGTACGAGGGTTAACAGAGGACGGCCCGTCCCCACCCTGGTGCAAATGGTGATGTTCATGTTCATTTGTATACACGTTTTGTCCACACTACTCACCATTTACATTTGTTGCAAACGATAAACATAGGACCAAAAGCAGAACAATTTTGAGAACAGGCGTGCTGTCTGTCAATGGCTCCATATATGATTTGGTCAAACTAAACAGAAAAGTTAACAATAATAATCAGTATATTTTCCCAAGGCTCCTAAGAAGTCTCCCAAACATTTGTTCATTCGTGAGAGATGAGACCCAACGCCTTCAAGTTCTTGGCTTTTACGGCAGGGAGGGGAGGGGAGGGGAGGAGAGGGGAGGGGAGGGGGAGGGAAAGGGATGGCAGTGAAGGGGAGGGGAGGGAAAACCAAAGTAGCTGATTACTAAGATGAAATCTTGAATTGTAATAGTATGTATTCTCTTGGATTTTAAAGAAGTCGGGAGTTACCTCATTTCCGAATTTCGTCATTTTCATTGTCTAGATCTGTGAACTTTTAATAGGCTATTTTCTCGTCGGAAGATTGAGTATTGTACTACTGAATCTATTACGCCACAAAAAGAGCTCGGGTCGAAGTCACGCGAAGTCACGCGAAGTCACGCGAAGTCACGAAGAGGCCGTGACAGTCAGAGCAATCGTCCACTCAGTGTAAACACAATCAATGGTTATTTAGTTTTGCTTAACATGGCTCAGTGATTGGCGTAAAGAATTGTCGCCACAATAGCGACTTGGTTTACCTTGCTTGCAAAGACTGGCATCATATTCAGAAGTGATCCACTGTCGGTAGTCTACTTTGCGACCCGAATATTTAAAAATAAAATTAATAGATTATCAAGGAGAATTTAAGCCCAAATGGCCGGAGGCTATACCCTGTGGCTTTACACAAGCAAGACGAAACAGCTGAACTTAAAACTACCAAGAAACGACCTCAATCTTCATGAAACATTTTTATTTCTTTTGGGTGTGTTTTTTTCCAGATCCAAGACCCTCCCAAGCATTTCTGCGCTACATCCGGCGTCGCTTCATTTTGGAAAAAAATATTGCCTACTCCATAAGTCAGTAATTTCCTTTTTTACATGTCCAATACGAGACGCCAATACTCTTTATTACGTCAAGAAGGTCAACCGTGGCTCATAATTTAATTACGTCATTCGCCACTGTCGTGGTGAAGTAAAATCTGAAGATTGTATTTCACGATGTCCAATTCTTTTGCGTAATAGTGAAACATAGTGAAGATACAAATACTACGATCTTCATGAAATATGTCACGTCATCTTGGATTCTCAAAGTAAAGAGGGGTTGAAGAGAGAACCAAAGAGCTGCAAAGGAGCGCAGGAATACTGATCAAAGATTATGCAATTTCCGTCAAACATTGTCAAAAAGCTTCACGTGTTACATAGTGCGGTGGACTGTTACCTTAACAGTCATCAAATGCTGAGGAAAATGAAGACAAGAGCGAAATTCATTTGGAATGTCTTGAAATATGAAATTTGATTTCATATGAAAAGAAAATCTACAGGTATTTTAATCTAACAGTGCTGCTACATTGTCTCGTGTCTTCAACAGGATATCTGCATTACAACTGACATTAAAACAAATACAAATCTAAGCAAATCTATATAGGAAATCGCGATTTCTGGAAAAACCTCAAGAGGTTCTGAGAATCGTTGTTGATTTGAGTGCAGCAAGACGAAGGTGAACCAATGTCTTGCTTCAAGTAAAGCACTGTTGAATTTTAACAGATTTATAGTCTGATCTGACACGACCGTGATTGACATTAACGTTTGTGTACATTGCTTGATAATTTTGATAAACACATGTTCGCATTTTTTCACTCGAAGTAATTCAAATTCTAAACGCCTCATTTTCTGCAACGCAAAGAAAACATATCATTTTTCGAAAAGGTCATAATTCCCATCTTCAAGCGAAAAAGCAAACGTTATTATGTGAATGTAAATATTATTGAATGTCCACGCACGAAGGAGTTTCATGCAAAGTAAAATCATGTCAATTGAGAAACGCACAAACGACGTAGAAGTACATTTGAAAACCTTACAAAATATTACAGGCCTCTTTCTCCGGTGCACCATTTCTGTATTTTCTACCCTTTTGATATAGGATTCTAAATCGATAATCTCGACCAAATTTCTCGTTAGAAGTTAAAAGTTAATTTCAAAATGTCAAATGTCTCACCTCGGGTCAAGCTTTTCATCACCTGAATCTCAAAACGCACTGCTGTCACGAACTTCTTACACGATAGTCCTTGCTGAGCGACTTAGGAAGACAACGTCTCCAATATTCATTTAGAACCTGTAGATATATGCTTTGTCATCGGCTCCTGACGTCAAGACACTTGAGCCGTAGCAGGAGGCTTTGAACGATTCGAAGAATGTTCTTTCATTTACACATCATATTAAGTCTCCACGAACTGAAATTAAAATCGAAATGAACTTGAAACCAGACCATGCTTTGTCGATGAAACCTGATTACCGTTATCCCTAATGAATACAAACTGTTAAAATTTAATGAGCAGTGAAGGAATATACCGTATTTGCATCCAAATGTTCCCACCTACCCATAATAATAAGTAAGCATTGTTTGGACCATATTATTTTTGTTCTTGGTTGGTGTCCGAAAAATCAAAAGTTGCCAAAAAGATTAAAAAGGTGCGCACGTAAACAAATAACATATCATACTAAAGTAATGTCAAAATTAAACCCTTGAGGAAACGGAGAAGGCGCTTGCCAATTGACGTGTATGAAATGAAATATCTCGTTTCAGAAACCGGCAACTGAATTTTAAAGCATTATTGCTCTATGTAAAAAATATGTTTTGTGATAAGTCTTGTTCTAAACGAGGGAGTGATCACATCATATACGTCCCCTAATTGCAGAATGTAGCCACCTGTTCCGTAGAGTGAAAAACGGAATAAATTTTAGAATTAACGCTCATTTGCACAGTTGACAAAGAGGTAAATAAAAGAATAATGATGACAAAAGGTACTTAATAGGGGAAACAAAATAAAAAACTACCCTATAATTCGCATAATGAAGGTAAAATAAAAGACAGGAAAAAGGAAATCTGTTTTACTGTAGAACTTCTTGGATTGAAACTCCTTAAGGCGACAAATTAACATTATCAACTCAGTTAATAAGACCAAATTATCTACTGATAGAAAAAATCCACTGCGCTTTAATGTGACTGATTTTTCTGAGCAGTTAACCATGATAAATTTATTTACGAACCACTTGTAATAGGTCACGGACTAAGCTTTAATTTTAATGATGACTGGAAGTGTTTTTCTCAATGATAAAGACTGTCATTGTATTTGTCATTCAGCTGTCAAGCGAGAAATATCAACATCACCAACAGAAATTACAACTGATCAGTGCATAGGTACAAGTTAGAATGTAAAAACGAAATTTGCATACAAAGGTTCAACATCATCTCTTACGGGAGAACGGTTTTCTTGTTCAATAAAAAACGAAGGGAGCTCCATAACACCGTGAGCCAAATGGATGGGGGCGCGACATACGTTAAGGCGGAAAAAAAATAAGCTAAAATGATAAATTTGGTTCGTGATGACGCTTGTTGTCATGTTTGTTTTTCTTTGAATCCACGCAACAGCAACAACATGTTTCTTAAATTAAAAAAAGTTAACCATTCTTAACAGTTTAAAAAAAGTTTCACTTCTCAAGATAAGTAGGTTCAGAGTTAAACCGGTGAAGGTGTTGAATAGTAAATTGTTGTGTCTGCACCTGCAATTAAAAAAATTGTCACTTTGAAGTCATAAACCGTGACAAAACGTGATCAAAAGGTTTACCAAGAAGCGGAGAACTCTTCTAAGTTTCTAAGCGTTGATATTTTAAAAGAGCTGTCATCATATCTACCCGCACTTTTAGAATAACCGATAAGGTTCGTTCATATACTTTTTTCCACGGGAGTAAGTACGTAATTAACGAGCTTTACTTACATTTTTCCTAAAAAAAAAAAAATGGTTGATATCGTTCGTGGATTTATGCCAGTTTCTCTGAAAATGTTTTATGCTCAAGTATTACGATTTCAGAAACTGACCTCCTCTCTTTCAAACATAGATTATCGTGAGGGCGCATTCGTAAAAGATCGGATTCCACGGAAGGATGGGCGATGAGAATTTGTAAGAGTGAAAGCGGAATAATGAATAATAGATATTAGATGCAAAAAAGGATTAATTATTTTGTTTAATCAGTTCCAAGAAAAGAACACATCAATGAAGCTTTTTCGGTACCTTAAAAAAAATTATTTTTAACCCCGGGAGTATCTCTTGACTGTGTAATCTGATCGTCCACCCTCCCCCACTTGAGGTTTGTCCAAAGAAGGAGTATTGTTGACGGCGGTTACTGTGTGATGGATGTCCTCCCCTGGGGTGGTTGCTGGGTGGGAATTGGCCCTGAAAAGCCCCCATGGGGAGTGGTCAGTTAACATCTATGTATCTATGTAAGGCGTTACCAGAGTCGATAACGACTTCCTTCATTATTGGTCCAAGGCATTAAATAAATCTTCTGGACAAAATATTCTTTATTAGAGATTTTACAGCATGGAAAATTGCAGTTTATACAATAGTTCGATATAAACGATACTATAATCATTAAAAATACATGGCGTTTGAAATTATAATGCGGATTTAAAGCAGCATTATCCTGGGTACCCTGTTGGGTGGTTAAGATAACCAATGAAACCCTGAGGGTATTCAGTTTGACTCAGGTTGTAAGGGGTTACGCGCTTTACTTTTGATTGTCCTCCTTGTACTCCCTTTGATCGTTGGTAATGGTCTAAAAAGGAAGAGAAGAGAGACGCCTTTGAGACAAAGACAATTTTTAAGATTGAGAAGGCTAACTAGTTAAGCAAGTGTGGACTCAAGCCACGTGACCTAAAACGCGCCGAATCTTATCCAGGTATCCGTGGCATGCGGTGGCTGAGAGTTCTGCCATGCCCCCTTCCCCCACCCTCTAATCTCGTTCCCAGATCCTACCGTGTAACTGTAACTGAAATGTAGGCGATGGTCGTGAAAGGTCTGGGCACGAAACTAATTAGTCTCATCTGGATGGAAGGCTGAGTTGTTTCTCCATCGCACACATAGAAACGAAAGCAATTGTTTGGTGATTTAAGAATTGAAGAATTCGAGGATGTTTCAACTTTGGTCTTCGCTCTTAAAATAAGCTAAAACACATGGAAACCGGTTAAAGGAAAAACAACTTTTTTGGATTCTCCCTAACCTTGTATTGCAGAGAGAGGTCGTGCAGCAGTCAAGATGACAAACCACTTTTTTTTCGTGATCGTGTTTCTGTTCACAAAAGAAGTGCGTGCATAGACCGTCCATGAAACAGGACTTTGCAAACTCGTGCACAGTGTTTCCATTGGTGAGCGTTGCTGTTCTTCGGACTGACATACAGACGTCCAGAATGCCACTACAGTTACGGGGAGTAACGTTACGTGTACAATCGGCCCCAGACTTCTGTGAGTAACATGTATGGCACATCAACGACAGGCCTGAAAACATGGAGAAGAAAATTAAGAAATCGTACCGTAGTTTACAGCTCCTCTCTGAGCACGAAACTGAAGGATTTGTGGAAATCAAAAATATTAAAAAATGACACAGCAACAACATTTCCACTCTTTTAGCTTAAAGTTGATAATAGCGACATACAAAGATTACTGTCCTATGACCGGCTGAAATCATTTGAGTACAATAGATCGCAGGCCCCGATCAATCACAAAGCGCACATTTATTGCGTAACAGACAAATGGCGCCGAGCTCGTGTCGGAATTTATGAAGAAAAACTTTAATTATACCTAAAGGAGTGGCAGATAGCTTTAAAATTCTAAAGGATCAAGCTTCCAACAGTATTTCCGCGAAACGTGCGAATCGAAAAGATAAGAGTTAGGCTGTGTTTTTTACCACCCTTGGCTGTCAGTCAAAAATATTTGCACATGCCGAAATGTTTTGTAGACAGGAGATTGAATTGTGTTAAACAATTGGAAAAGAATCAATAACACTTAAATTTCTAGATACTGACAAAACACTTGCAATTCCCTGCCGCTTTAGACTGAAATTTTTTTATTTCAATGCACTGATTTATCCCATTCTCAAGTCTATACAAATATTCATCTGTAAAAGAAAAAGTGATCATTGAATGTTCTGAACATAGTGAAGCTAGCCCCACCAGTGCATCAGCTCAATAATTTCTGTAATATCACAGAAAATATTATTCACTGACACTGTTTGCTCAACCCTTTACTAGGAATTTTTGAGCCAAAATCAGTGCCTGTTGCCAAACGGAAGCATTACGGGGCTTGTTGCCACAGTTTCCACATGTTCCCCTCTCTTGTATTTTTATCTTTTTCTGGATAAGACGTGAACATGAAACTTCACCTATGTCAAAAAAATACCTGAAACACTGAATAACAGGCAACAGGTAATTATGAACCTGCCACAGAAGAATTTGGTAAAACTTTTTGAGTTATTAGCAGACATTTAAACCCCATTGTTAGCTGGTTATTTAATGTCATATCAGTGGTGCGCATTCTATCCATTTTGTGAATTTTCTCTACTGTTTTGCGCGAAGTTTCGCCGTATTACCCAGAAGGGCTAAAATTAAATTTGCTTTCCTCTAAATCTGCCTTACCTGTGCCCAGTAAACTAATAAAGAAGAGGGTGTAGATCAGAGGTCTTTCCATTTTTGTGAAGTCTCAAGCTAAACCTGCAAACCGACCTGGAATCTCAATGCTGTGGACGTTCACAATGGCGGTAAGACTCTCGCTCACTGCTGACTAGCCGAGCTGAGTGCAGGTATTAAATCAATAATGTCACGTGGTTTTTGCTGTAACATCAACTGTCAGTTTAAAAAATCAATTCCTGTTTATGTCAGCACTCCCTGAAGTGACGGCGAGAATAAACTACATTTCAAACACGATCGATGTTTCCCTTCCAGAAAAAAGCACAAGAAGCATAAATTCTAAAACGCTAACTTTAGATGATCATCATGAACCAAGTCGTATTATTTCACAAATTTGCAATCATTACCCAACTGGATATTCCTTCTCCGCGCTTATCATGTATGATACTGTGTGTGGATGGAAGTGAACATCTCAAAACTTCCTTTGTAGAGGTCTCCTGACTTTTTCCTGAGGGGAAGTGCTTTGAGTCATTTTTGTTTTTCGACTCTTGTACACGATTTAGATTAAATAAAACAATTATTAGCAACTTTTTTAAAGCTTTATTGTCTTGATTCTTTCTTTTCTTCTTTAACCTCAGCTGCATAACTTTACAAGAAAGACCGATTTTAATTTTCATCTTTTCCTCAGGAAATACACGCCTATGAACTCTTCCGTTTGTGGTTGAAATGCTCGCATTCTGAAAGAAACTGTTGCAGCAGTGCTTTAAGAATACGAAAGACTGAAATTATTTTCAAGGTCAATCAAAGGTGACCAAAAATACTCTTCGCACCAAAACCATTTTTCTCAGAAGAAGAAATCCTCGTCTTTCAGCGTTATGCTGGTTGGCCGGAAAGAGTTCGGGGAATAACGACTTGTACTGACTTGAAGATATTTTCCAACCGTGTTCGCCCAACTCAAAGACTTCCTGTCAGTTTTACAGGATATTTAAAGACTCCTCAGTCACAACTGCAATGATCGATTAACTTCCTTTTTTCTTTACAAGCTATTGTTGTTGATATCATACTTTATTTTAATACAGTACACCCCAAAGGCGTGTGTTTGTATTATTGGAACAAGCGAGAAAGTAGTGTTGATCATTATAAGCTTAACAAGTGTTTATTCCATGCGATAATCAGCGTGTGCGAATCTTGTTTGAACCAAATTTTTTCACGAATTCGTAGAGTCAAAACAACGAAGTCTAAGAGAGCTGGCTTATATTTGGTTCGGGCGCCTCGCAAATTTGAGTGTTTTGTTTACTCTCATCCTAGCTTTGTCCGAAGTGTTTTCTTATGGACCTTTATTATTCCTTCGCGAGAAAATTCCAACTCGATCTCGATGCAACTGCATCTTTTTTTCTTCTAACTAGTTTTGAAACATGATATTGATCCAGCTGCGATATTTTAAATTTACCCTGTTTACAATCACGCTTTGTTAAAACTAATAGCTCTCCAAAGATGGAAAGGAAAGGGTCTTATCATTTCTAACTACGTACTGGGGGCAACATCAATCTTTATCTTTCAACACATGCTGAACATAAGATTTGTCGAATAAAGCACGGAAAGGTGATCTAATGTTGCCATTTTAATTAGTTTTGTGACAAAAATCTTGTGCCCTGTTTGATTTTAATTGGGCTGCAAAAATTTCCGGCTTCGCTAACTCTAAGAAACGGATAAAGTCAAATGTGTCTATTTCTTCTGTGTTGTCTAATCATTTCTCTTGTCGCCTTCTTTTGTAATGTTTACCCTTACGTAACTGATGTCTGCGGCTGAATTCATGGGTTCGTGCTGAATATAAAGTTAATCTTAACATCCCGTTTGGGTTAGGGTTAAAATGAAAAGGAAGCTCCGTGGATTTTTCTGTTATGAAAAATAAGTTCCCTTTAACCGAATCAAAAAGGAGAGTGTACAGTGTAGTCATGTCTCAGAAATATGCAGAGCATCCTTAAGTTCAGGTACACTTTCATTTACTTTCTAAAAGTAAAGTCGACTGCTTTCCCTTCATATCCTTAGACACTGACATCTTTGTAAGATCCCTTATTGTAAGAGATCGTGGGGCTTTGGAATTCTTCTACGAAATCTGTTGAGAGAATATGCATTCTGATCCCTCCGGGAAGAAAATTAAATAATTTTCGGACGTCCTCACTCTGATGTTCGGATAATCGATATCGTTTTCGTCGATCTTCGGAAGTTATGGCTTCGGGTTCTATGTGGGAGGGGGCAGGGGGAAAGAAGAAAAGGAATGACATGCCTAGTTTACGAGTGCTCGTGAAATTAAAATCGTTTTTCCCAAATTGTACATTTGTTCAGGCCTTTAAATATGCCAACAGGCAAAACTGCGGCACACTGTGGAGCAAGATGTCAATGCAGGGCTTGTAGAGTGACAAAACAGGGACATTTGGAGATATTTTATTAAGACTGTGTCTGTGAAACAAATAATCCAACCTTCCGCTTGTTAGAGCCGCGATGAAGAAATTGCTTTGAGCTTCCGAGGGAAGTGAGCCACAAAGAAACTAATGCAGTCATATTTGATCTTCTTATCAATTCATTTAATTGTATATTACGTATGTTTTTCCTTTTTAATATCTGGATTGTTTTGTCCGTTTAAAAATTTCTTTATTGATATCGTTTAGTCAAAGCACTGTCCAAATCTTTGGTTTATCATAACTGACACTGATGCTAAAACCTCATTTCTGATGGAATCGTTTTGCATAATAAACGACTGCCGACAAGGAGACATCCGTCCCACTGGAAAGCTAACGGTAAGGTGTTTACACAGCTAAATTTTTCAATCCGAACAAAATGTCCTTTATTTACTCACGTTGAGGTCGTTGCCTGCTGTCAATTAGTGGGTTCAGCTGTTATTTCTCCAGGAAAACAATTTTTATTCTAAAGACCAGTTTTAAGCTCGCAGTATTTCGGCCATTATCTGTCCCTGTATGTGGAAGGGAATCATATAAAGCTTGGTGTACTTAAACGCAAGTTACACAGGTTGTAACAATTAATACGCATTCTCTAAATCAAAAGATGGTCGGCATAAAAATGCAAGTCTTTATATTTGCATCCTGGAACATTATTTGATTTTAACTAAGATAACTGGTGAGGTTTCGACGCAAAAGAATGGAAGGGAAGAACACAAGTAATACCCAAGAATTGGAGGACGATCCTCTCGGGCGAACACCATTGCAAGTTGGCATCGAAGTAACCATTGCAGTTTTAATATGCATCGCCTGCATTGTTGGCAACTTCGTAGTTGTGGTCGCCATTCATAAAACTCCTCGTCTCAACACTATCACTAATATGCTGGTCGAGAATCTTGCGTGGACAGACATTTCCATGGCAACGCTGCACCTGCCATTTTGGATAGCTAGCATGCGCAGTGGTTATAGGTTATTAGGTCCGGTGGCTTGCAAATTTGTTGGCTTTTTCGAGCTAGTCTTTGGCACAGCATCGCTTCAAACGATGGCAGGAATTGCAGTTAATCGATATTTCAGCATCGTGAAAAGAAATTTGTATGTAAAGTATTTTTCAGACCGTAAAACAACGTATGGGATTATTGTTTCCTCGTGGGTTTTTCCTCTCCTTGCATGTAGTCCGCCTCTGTATGGCTGGGGAACTATAGAATTTTGTGACAAATTCACCGATTGCACCATGGGATGGCACTTGAAGGATATCTCCTACATTATATTTTTACTGACGGTAGCAATTTTTATAACAATGATCATCATAATCTACTGCTATTCCACCATATTCAGATTTGTAAGACAAAGATCCCGCCAGCTTCAAACTCACAACAATTTAGGTGATCAAGACTATCAACAAAGGAAAGCAACAACGGAAAAAGAAAATAAGATAATCAAAGTATTCGTGGCTGTAGTTTGTTTGTACACTTTGTGCTGGACACCAGTTTGTGTTGTTGGTTTTTGTGAATTGTTAGGCTATACAGCCCCCCGTTTCGTTTATATTATTGTTTATTACATGATGTTTTCAAGCAGTTTTTGTAATCCGATAATCTACGGTGCGTTCAATCCACAGTTTAGGATGGCTTTCAAACAAGTACATGCTGCTCTGAATACATCAGAGGGTAAACCTTCAGGAAGGTCAAATTCAGCCCATGGGGAGTCCAGTGGGGGGGGTCTGGTCAGGGCGAGAGGAAGAACAAATCTTGACAAGGTTCTTCCAAAAATACAGCGAACTGAAACGAAACTTTAAGTCAGTCTATTCTTCATTATTAAAAACTGGATCATTGGATAATGCCATTCAAGACTTTTTATTGGCTTAGCCATTATGGTATATTAGCCAATATACCATAATCTACAAATATGGTAAGAGTAAGCGTCAACTTAAAATTAAAAGGGAGCTAAAAAATTTAAGATTTGGTAAGATTTGTCTTATATCTTGGGGGCGTTTTTAATAAAACAATTATCGATTTGAATCACGGGTTTCGTGAGGTAGTTGAATGAGGAGGTCAAAATTGTGTTTTATGGAAAGTCTTTTCTTTTATAGAAAATCTTTTCTATGAGTCGAAATCTTCCGACATTAGGTTTAAGTTAACCAGCATTTTTAGTTACTTATGAATTATCCATGAACCGCAGAAGATGATGTAATGAGGCAAATTATCAACCACAGGAATAATTATCCTGTCGCTTAACACAGGTTCCATAGATTAGTATGTGTAATCAAATGGCGACGAGTGAAATTAGGAAATAATTTCACGCTCGTTTTGTTAAAATTCGGATAGTTTCCCGAGCCTTTAGGCGAGGGAAATAATCAGAATTTTGAAAAAACGCAAGTGAAATTATTTCCTAATTTCACAAGAAAACCATTTGATTACCTTTTAATATCGTGAGTGACAAATTACGTTCACAACCGCAATTGTTTTTACTGGTTTATTCCATCGAAAACCGAGAAACATGAAGAAGAATATAGTTTTAATTTAAAGCATACATTATACATTTAATTATACATTTCGTTTAAAGCATACATACATACAAACCACAGGAATAATTATCCTGTCGCTAGTGCTGATAGTCACAGTCACAAACTGATTAAGGTTCCTATCCTTTAGGCATTGTGGAAAATAGCATTGATAAGAAGTCACTATCATCTATCGTGAAAGGCAGATTTAAAGAATGTTTTGTATAATACTCTTATTTTAATCAATAACTGTTTTCCGAAGTGGAGGTGGTTGGTTGCGGATTTTTACCGAGCCAAGTAACGGCGAGTCAAATATCCGCCACAAGCCACCGACACTGAGGAATGTATAAATATACATAATACAAAAAGACAATAAATTAATAAAAAGATCAGATATGAGTGTTACAGTTTCATGATAGATGGATAGATAGATAGATAGATAGATAGATACTTTATTGGGCACAGAATCCATAAAGCAAAATCACTTATTTACAATGAAGCTGTGCATCTAAAATATTAAGATACACACACAAATATGTATGATGCACGATCCTCGCAGTAGAGAGCGCTATTTATGGAACAGCGAAAATCAGACCTGAAAAAAATCAGGCCTGTACGGGATTCGAACCACTGACCTCTGCGATACTAGTGCAGCGCTCTACCAGTTGAGCTAACAAGCCAACTGGGAACAGGCCGTTAAGTTGATTCGTAATAAACCTGTGATGATAAATCACACACAAATATATATATTAACACAATATAAACATTAAAATAAATAAATAAATAATCCTTTTCCCGTGTTCCGTTAACAATAAACCTAAGATGCCGAATTATATAGATTATTACAAGTTATTTAGGCCAATAGTTATTTACAAACTCTTTTTAAGTGTCAGGGAGCATTTTGTGGCATGATCAAGGTTGATTGTATCTAAGATTAACATTGTAGCGTAAGTTTCTTTGAATTTCACTTCATTCGAAGACTCAAAGTAATTCCTTCATCATGGCTCTAACAAGCGGGAGGTTGGATTATTTGTTTCACAGACACAGTCTTAATAAAATATCTCCAAATGTCCCTGTTTTGTCACTCTACAAGCCCTGCATTGACATCTTGCTCCACTTTGACCGACACAGTGTACTTGCACTTGGCAAGTGAGTCACTCCGCCGCAATTTCACCAGTTGACATATTTAAAGGCCTGCACAAACGCACAATTTGGGAAAACTTTTTAAGTATCTTGGGCACCTATAAATTAGCCATGTCATTTTCCCCTGCCCTCTTCCACCCAGACCCCGAAGCCAAAAATTCCGAAGATCGACGAAAACAATATAGATGATCACACACACACACACACACACACACACACACGAGACAGAATAATATTCATACATGACATACTCAAAAAAATGCAATAACTGAGCCAACGATCGTAGCGATCAAAACTCAGCGGTTACTCTATTGCATCAGTTTTACACATGGTGGATTTGCGAAAGACTGTTTTTGCCTCTTGAAAGTTTCCTTCTTCGTCAAAATGCCGATCAGTTGTAGATTTTACAAACACAAGTACCCAGAAATCGACGATGTCGTGATGGTGAACGTTCGAAGCATCGCTGAAATGGGAGCGTATGTGAATTTGCTTGAATATAACAACATCGAAGGAATGATCCTTTTGAGCGAATTGTCAAGGAGAAGAATTCGCTCGATTAACAAACTGATCAGGGTTGGAAGACATGAGTGTGTGGTAGTTATTCGCGTAGATAAGGACAAAGGTTTGTTGGTGTTCTTTTTAAACGTAAATTTCTCAATTAGAGAAAAATATTAAATTTTTTCGATTAGCCACCTACAGTGCATGCGCACTTGGGACATCCACCAGAAATTTGTAACCTTTATTAGATAGTGAAAACATCATCGGCCCTGATTGTTGTAGTTATTTTATTATTTCAGTATAAACCTTGGAAAGATTTCCACATAACCCCAGACATTAATTATACATTCCATTTCATAAAGACTAAATATAAAGGTTTCTCTGCAACACTCTATGCATAATTAATGTATGGGGTTATATGGCAATCTTGCCTAAACCTTGTTTGCTGAAGTGAACATGACCATCCTGCAAATTGGAGGTTCTATTTTTCCTGCTAATTAACAAGAAGTGTTAATGTTGTCTTGGTTTCTAGTGCATGCATATTGGCGTGAAATTCATTAGTCATTAACCTAAAAAAGAACTCGTCTTTTTATAATTCTATTGTAATAACTAGTATTATTAGCCAGATGGGCTTCGTAAAGTACAAATAATGCATGAGACAAGTACAAATATCATGTGATATTTGTGCTCCAGAAATATCCATGGAATTTGCCCACTCTGAAATAACAATTTGATGTGTTGGATAAATCTCTTATCAGATGTTTTGTTGTGTAGTACTGCTGAATATGTTTACTTGTTGTTTGTATTTATTTTTTGTTTGACTATTTGTTACATATTTTTTTTGTGGCATGAAGCAAATCCTTTTGAATATTAGACATTCATATTGTTATCACTAATTGAAATTTTGTTTCCTTGGTACATAAAACCGCAGTAAACAACAGCTTTTAATATTTACTACAGAGTAGTCATTTCCCACAGACATTCAAATTGCAAAGAAGGCAGTAATACCACAATTTTAACTGATGTCCAATATTTTGACAGGATATATTGACCTATCCAAGAGGAGAGTGTCTCCAGAAGAAATCAAGAAATGTGAGGAAAAGTTTACTAAAGCAAAAGCTGTAAGTCTCACAGATACTAGTTTTGAAGACTCTTCTACTGAGTTGAGTTAGTTGAACAGATAACTGATAATTAACAGATAACTGTCATTATGAAACATTAATCTGTTTTTAGAGTTTATGAAATCAATCTTCACCTCATTTTTCCTCCATTTATTTTGTTGCTTCAGGTGTACAGTATTCTGAGGCACTGTGCAGAGATCTTAGGATATGAGACAGACCGCGAATTAGAGGAGCTGTATGAGAAGACAGCTTGGTATTTTGATGAGAAGTGCAAATCACCAGGGAGTTCATATGAGATGTTCAAATTAGCTGTTGGGTGAGAAAATTTTGAATAGGAGTTGATGGCTGCCGAGTCTCATAGATGGTACATTCACCAAAGATACCCCACAAAATATTGAGAAGAAACCTAAGGGTGAACACTCCACAAAATATAACATAACCTGATCAAGAATGGTTTTTACTGTACCAATAGTTCACACACTTTTTTGGGGGGTAATGCTGTATTTAGAACCTTAGAATTTTCCAGCTGGCTTTGATTCTGATCTCTTTTTCTAGAAAACAAATCTCTCTGGTTGCCCTATCAGTTAAGTGAGCAAGAGATCATTTTTTGCAAACAAAACTTGTATCTAGCTCTGATGATGACTAATGAATTTAAACTTCAGAGAATTTTTTGCAGACAATTATATTGCTAATGGCATTACAATGAATACAGCATCGTGAATTGACTCAGGCCAGAACCTGGGTCCAACTGGAAGAATATTACATGTGGGGTGTACCTTTGCCCTAAGACTGAAGTACTTTTATCCTATTTTAGGGATCCATCATTGCTAGATGAATTGGATCTTGATGAAAAGACGAAATCCACCTTACTCTCTAACATAACGAGAAGGCTTACTCCCCAAGCTGTCAAGATCCGTGCTGATATTGAAGTGTCATGTTATGCCTACGAAGGCATTGATGCTGTGAAAAATTCCTTGTTAGAAGGACTGAAGTGTACATCAGAAGATGTTCCTATCAAGGTTGGTGTATGTTTGTAGGAGAATGGCGGCTTTACAGTTAGCACACTATTTTCTTGACAAAGAAAATTTGGGTTAATCAGATGAGCTGATGATGTAAATTGACCACTTTTCCAAGTATCTAAAACTAATCTGATTTTTTCAAGCATTAGCCCCTTATCAGAGCCTGACATACAGTATAAAGAGGTTCAGGATTGAGACTTAGCTGGGTCATTGTGTTGTGTTCTTGGACAGGACACTTAACTCTTACAATGCCTCTCTTCCCCCAGGAGTATTAATTTGTATCAGTTGCATCAGTGAGCTGTCTGAGAAACCTGATGAAATTCTTGTTGGGGGGGGGGAGAGGAGAGGGAAGGGGGAGGAGAGGGAAGGTGAAGGGGAGTTGGAGCTGGGGTTATATTAACCTCTGGTTGATTGGTATCCTATCCAAGGATAGTGGTTGTGCCTCCAGGCACTTTATTACAGAAACTGGGATAAGCTCTGGCAGTAAGGGCCAACAGGCTTATGTGAAAAGGAACACTTAAGGAGAAGTTAGATGAAACTGTAGATTTTCAGTCTGATTAGTAAAAGAATTGTCTAGGGATTAGTTTGGCATTGTGTACATATCAAGCACCTTCACCAACTTTGGACGAGTTTTCTACTTTGCTATTCTTTCCTTTGATTGAGAATGAATATGGAACCCCAGACTGGGATGGTTTGCTTTAATAGCTGTATATTAAAAAGAACTAGAACAAATCTGTCTAATGCTCAGTAGTGTTTGGCATTGGCAAAGTGAACCAAAAAAAGCTTTCAAAATGTCAATACCCTCACGGTTGAATTGGGAAAATACAGTCTGATCACTTTAAGTTGTCCTCCTTATTTTTAGATAAATTTGATAGCAGCACCTCTTTATGTGATTACAACAACAACATTGGATCGGGATGAGGGACTCCAAGCCTTGACAAATGCTGTGGATGCCATTAGAACCACCATCAAAAAATTTGGAGGAGATTTTATTGAAAAAGCTGCTGTAAGTTGAAGCTTCTTTGATTTTGAATCTAATAATTTTTTTTTCAAATGCTACATTATTTACAAAATTGAGCAGGTTTCTGCTTTTCAAACTTGTAACATAAACAATAATCAGCCTTGCTGTGGTTCTGATATCACATTTAAGGAAAGCCCTTGTAGTAAAATATACATACTATTATTGTTATTATTATTATTATCATTACATGCCACTCCAAATAAGAACAAGATAACAGGCAGGATTTTCCATTTGAGAGTTTGGGCAGGTCACAATCTGACTAGCATCTTGAGTAACGATAATCATTTGTCTATTGATGTTACCTTTTGCATGACAACAATGGGATTGCATGTAACTTAGGTTGCCCCTAGTTAGGATTTACATAAACTTTTCCAATAATTGGCTACAGGGAGTGCAATAACTGGCTATGCCTAAGAGATCCCTAAGAGTAGCTAGCTTAAAATTTTTCCTTACAATATCACCCCTGAATCACACAGTAAGGTTAGGAGAATAAAGGAAATGATCATCATCTGAAAAAGCCCTTGACTGTAAAGCAAAGTCTTCTTGTTAGCACCTTAGGAAGTGTACAAAGAATGCTCTGCACACTAACTATACTGATGTGAGGGTGTCAAGGGTTAAAGCAAAACCCAAACATGACTGTCAGCTCACAGGCAAAACAGGCGACAGCAAGAGGTCTTAGAGGCAACAGTAGACAGCAGGTAACCAGCTTTGAAATCCCTGCCTTAGCTATGCCTCAGATGAAGTCCTAAGCACTCCTACCTTTGAAGGACAAAAATCAGAATGTTACTAACATCTTTCCTGTTCAATATATTTTCAGCCAAAGGTTGTCACAGACAGTGACGAGGCTGAGCTTGCCAAGCAAATGGAAAGATTAGAAAGAGAAAATGCTGAAGTGGATGGTGATGACGACAATCCTGATGAGGAAGAGATATCAGAAGAGATCCATTAGTTTTCATATTTCTTTAAATTATCTGTTGAGCTTTATATTTTGCGTCTGTCATTTCCTCATTGTTTCATTTTGTGAGAGAACGCTGACAAAGTATCAGAAACTAAAGCATCTGGATTCTATACTTAGTTCTTATTAACCGAGCGAGAGGTCTGTATGGGAGAATCTTGACCGAGGTCGCCAGTACAGACCGAACGCAGTGAGGTCTGTACTGGCGACCGAGGTCAAGATTCTCCCATACAGACCGACCTAGCTCAGTTAATAAGATGTTTATTATATGGCTGTGTCTTACATGCCAATTTTTTATATTTGTTGTACCTTTTTTTCTAGACCGGTCTAGATGGCAAAATCTAGACTGCTTTCAATATTGATTTCAGCCAATCAAATTTGTGAATTTGGTAGTTCCCAGTCCTTGTGAGACACAGCCATATAATAATATTTAATACAGATGAGTGTGCACCTTGAATTTATCGTAGGTGTGGCCTTGACCCTAACTTCATACAGGCTTGGTAAAGAAGGATTGTCAATGTAGTCAGTCGTGAATGACTTTGCATGGTAAATGCTTGATTTGCAGATCTACTTGTATTTGAGTTAATCTCTTCAACAGGATATTCTGTGAGTCCATCAGAACTTGTGAAACTTTTACATGGCCATTAAGTAAATTCTATCAATTGTATAGAAAAAAAAGTACAAAGTGAAATAAAGAGAATGTTTCAACAAACTGAGAATGTGCTATGCAAATGATTATTGGATGTACATGTAAATTAAAATACTTAGAGTTCTCTATATGAGAAAAGAGTAAAATTTGTAAATGGAATCATGGTAGAGAAACCTGATTTTCCTTATCTCCCCAGGTCTTGAACAGAACTATGTGACGATAAGTTTTCTGCAGTTGTATTTTGCTTACCAAGCTAGCAAAGGTTTGAGGTAGCCAATGGTTCTGTCATTAAATTTGTTTCCTTGTGTAGAGCATCAAGAAATATTGTACTGACCGTTTTGAATTTTCAGTAAAGCAGGCCAATATCAGCCAGTTATGAAACAATCCCCAACTAATTAAGAGTCTACAGATCTCTCATAAGACCTGAGCTTGTATTTTGTATTTGTTGTTTGAAGATTACTTGTCAGATGCGAAAAAGAGGATTGCCAACAAGGCCCTAAGAGTGTGTTTTGTCATAAGCATCTCATGTCAATTAAGGACAAGTCTAATGACTGTTTCACAGTACACGCAAATCTGCCATGGACCTTGCAAAGGAGTTTCCTGTTGATTCCATTCAGAAGATCCTTGGTTTTAGAGCTCAAATATCATGGATTGCATTATACATGGCTAGTATTTAATGATTGTGAGATATTCCAAGTTTACCCTGCCTTCAAAACTCTCAAGTTTGTTATGTACTGTCTCCCCCCCCTCACTGCTATCATTTGAAGAGATTTTGAATGATTGAAATACATGCACTGGCTTGTGGAAGAGTACGTTAATTATCTTTCTAGTCAGCTCTGGTCACCTCGAGGGTTCTGAGAAATAAGATAAGAAAAAATAAATTTACTCCATAACTCTAACAACCATTGTCCACAGGTTCACTTTGCCTCCGGATTGGGTGACCTGTGGTAACGAATGCGTGACAATTCACTAGAGTCCAGGCTTTTCGTCTCTCTCGACCACTTCCGCTAAGGAACGCAACTATAAAAGGAATGCAGTGAAATCCTGAGATTTGTCGCGATTGAACTGTTTCCTAAAAGGTGAGGAGCTCCAATTAGGTACGATATGCCCACTCCTTTTTTTAGAACACTGTTTGCAGGATAATGAAAAGCTCTCGCTCAAATCACACTTGCATTCTTGCTCTCTCCGCATAATTGACATATGCTTTAGGTTCTAGGAAACCTAAACTGATGGCATTTGTTATTCGTGTTTGTCTTACACTAAGTATGTTTACATTTGATTGAAAAGCTTCAAAATTCTTCTGTGCATTTGAAAGTTCTCTTGACATGATCTCCGACAAGTGCAGTGCATACTGTGCCCAAAGTGTTTGATTAGAGAGATAACATCTCTCCGAAATGCCCCAAATTCCTGATTCCCGGGGTAATTAATTCGACGCATTTGTATCATGGGTGTGAAATCTCCGAGGATATCAACTTGTCTATTGCCGTTAGCGAACGATGATCCCAAGCCACTATCACCTGCCCTAAAGCATTTTTGTTGCAGCAAGCTGTTCAAGTACAGTTTTATTTGTGTGTACTATGAAAGAGAAGGTTTGTTTGGCAACGAGCTGACACGTCCTTAAAAACACTGCGGCAAAGTACCAGTCAAAATCCTTGTAGAATCACTTAAAAGGGGAGACGACCGGGTAGGTATCTGGTGTAACAAAGGGAGAGCTTTAGACAGACCAGAAATGGGAAATCGAAACAGCAGGCACAAGTGAAATTTCACTCATCTCATCTTGGCATTAACTGTCAAAATTGATCACGCAAACATGATCCACCTAGGTAGCGGAGAAGTGTTGGTAAAAACAAGATGGTCTCATAGGCCCTGTTTAGGTTATGTAGTGAGGTCCCAATATTGTGCAAAACATTGTGATTCAAACCCTCCATAGAGTCTATGCATGCTCCTGATTTGTTTACAGGAAGTTCGTTCAGAAACC